TGGAGAATAGATAAGAGCTTATTTTTGAGGGAATGTGTGTTTGCGAAGGAGATTTTGATAGATTAAGGCTTTAGGAAGGTCTTTTTTACAGAACCGTAGTCACTGCATGGTCATTTTCTTTAAACTGGCTCCCAAGTCATTTTTTAAACATTTACACACGTTCAGTCTTGATCATACAGCACAATATCTAATTTCTCTTGAAGATTAGATGACAATGTAAATCACAATGTAAGGCCTCAATCTCTGTCAACACGTTATATTTACTGTGGTAGTGTCCAATGAACCAATTAGACCATCATCTTGTTAAGCAGTGCTAAAGTAAATCCTCTGTCTAGCATAGATAAGAACTTTTTTGAATATTTTTCTTTATTCTTTTGCCACGATTTTTGACCAAAAACATAAAGTGAATTTATACCAGCTGAATCTGCATAAGCTTTCGTGGAGCTATGCTGTTTTGCAGCAGCTGTACTTTTCACTATGGGGTGGATTACTCATTTCTGAGGGTAGCAAGAAAAATGAGGAACAAATCTTAGAAGAGGAAATGGTTCTGAAAGTATAAACCAGTGGTTCTCAATTTTTGGATGCATAGCTCCTCTCCCTAACTTTTGTGAATTAAATGGCGTGCCATTTCAAAAAACAATTTACGTATTGCAGTGCTTAGCTCCTTGCATTGGAGCTGGGCAGTGGAGGCAGTGATGGAGGATTGGCCAGATAGGGACAAGCCTCAGCTTATCTCTTCACACCTCTCTTACTTTGCCATACCTGGAGGCTGGGCGTGCCAGGGTGCTACAGTACTCTGGTTGATAATCACTAGTAAAATATTTGTTTTAAGGCTTGAAGCTATTTTAATCTGTTTTTGGAAAATGATTAACACCAAGTTAGGCAAGATTCTTTGAGTAGATGTGATATCTCTTATTAGACCAACTGAATAGTTGAAAAAAAAGTTTTTTTTACAAGCTTCCAGGCGCAGTCACCCTTCTTCAGGCATGGGAGGTCTCTGCTGTTCTCAGGCTCCAAGGAATGAAAGAAGCTAAAAGTGTGACAGGATGTCGGTGATAATGTAACGTAATACCAAGTTGGCATTGTTCCTTCTAAACTGAGTTTTGCAACTGAGTCTTTAGGTTTTTTGGGGGGGGGGGGGGGGTGTTTTTTTTTTAATAGGAATGGACTCCTGTATTAATTGGACTCCAAACCGTTAACTTTTTTTACTTTAACACTGATAGTGCTGGCTTTTATTTCCTTTATAGACAGCCACTACAAAGAACGAATGGGCAAGTATAATATGAACATGGTAGCTTGAGCTGCTGAACAGTTATGGTGCAACATACTTTATGATCCTGCATAGGCTCTAGATAAGGAAGTGGCCTTGAGGGAGTTGTGGTAAGCCAGCCTTGTAGCAAGAGTCCATTTACAGTGTCATTTGCAATGCTATCAGATGATTAAGAGTCTAACTACTTAATTGAAAATGGGGGTTTCCATAGACAGGCTGTACTAAAGAGCAACTCTGAGGGAAGAGAAGGGATGGGGGGAAGCAGAGGAGGATTTGCTGACTCAAAAAGTTGATTTCCCATCACCGGGCAGGACTTTAGCCTTCCATGGATCGAGGCCAAGAAAACGACCCCGATGCAGTTGGCTGCATTGTTCAAGCATTCCTTTCGGGCTGTTGTTTCCCTGGAGAGGCCACAAGCTGTGAGATGCCTGTATACAGATAATATTCTGGGCCTAGCCATACCACCAAGAGTTATCATATATTCATTGGGAAGCATGTAACAATGAATATTGGGTGATGTATATGATCCATAATGATTTGGAACCTTCAGGTTTTGGGGTTTTTTTGTTTTTTTGTTTTTTTCATTAATTGTTTTTCCCCAAAACCCTATTCTAGATTCCGGCTTTATCCTTGCAAGGTACAACAGGCTCCCAAAATATATCTTGAGCACTCTTAAACGTAACACACATCCGAAGCAGAGAGAAATTGAAGTATGAAAAAAAAAAAAAAAATTAAAAAGTGGGGTCGTGTATGCCATCTTTTGCATTTCTTTAAAATTTTATTCAAAAAACAAATCAGTTTTTGCAGACTTTAATACACAGTTGGCATAGTACCTTCACTACTGGACTTGTGCCATGTTTAACTTAGATAGACAGCTATTGTACATGTGCAACAACATTAGGTTCCACAGCAACCCTCAAGCAGCATTCATCCATAGAGGAAGGTCATCTACAGTACATTACACAGCGTAGCGTTTCCTTATACAAGGTCACATTGACATTGCAGACTCTGAACTCTATTTAGAGAACAGTTTCAGAAGTCAGTAAACACAGACTGATGTGACTGGTCTAACTGTCCTGGATGATCTGCTAGTTAAAATAACATATTTACTAATATTCTGTCAATATATATAACATATACATATACATATTTTCTGTTAGTGCTCTTCTCAGCTCTCATAATAATAAATGTCTTCTTTTAAATTATTGTTGGGGAGAAAAAACAGTTAAAATACTGTTTGTTTTACTTTAACAAAGTTGTGGTAATTCAGAGTAAGGGCTGAAACATTTTTCTTAAACTATCCTGTTGCCTCTGCATATTAATTGGGAACTTTATGCCTCTTCCTGCCACTTTTTTTTTTTTTTTCCCATATAACATTTTGTACTAAAACTCTTTAAAAGTAGGAGGATCACCTCCAACTGTGGGTTTTTGGGTTTGCCAGATTTTAACTTAAACCTTGATATTGTTTTTTTTTTAACATGAGGTATTTAATGTATATAGGAAAGCAAAAGATTGTAATAAAATATTCTTCTGTTTTAATCTGGGCCACGTTCTGTGTCCCATTCTTGCATTAAATAGCATCTTATGAATAAAGATGTCAGAATCAAGGTATTCACTTTGAACTAAGGCATCATGAGACCCTGAGAGTCGGTCAAATAACAACTGAATGTGAGTTTTGTTTTTTTTTATAGAAATTATGTAGAGCAGGTAAACACGCCAATATTTTTATAAAAAAATTAGGTGGCATTAAGGAAGAAAGTCCATGGCTAATTTTGTTATGACTAATACGCATAAAATAATCCCTGTTTTCAGTAGTAGTTTTCAAATGATCTCTTACGAGTACAGAGAGAAACCCTTTTCACATTTTTCCCCCTTATTTAAAACAAACAAACAAATAAATAAATAAATAAAAGCATTTGCTTGTCTATCATGCAGCTCAAACCTGTAAGCAATAAAGAAAACCGAGGCTGTGGTAGGGTTAGAAAGTTGCCTCCTGTTATCAGATACCGTTTAGTTATGGAGGGACGTGGGTTGAATTTCTAACTTTTTCAATAAATAGTGAAACAGATGTTCAGTGCTTAGGTTAGAACTTGTTTCAACTAAACTGTGCCATCTAGAAACTGTACACCAGTGTAGAAAATGTTAACTGATTAGGTTTTGATAAACTGGTGGTTAAAATTCAGGTGTGAGCTTTTTCCAGCTCCACTGGTGTCTCTGTGAAAGTTACTTAGCTTCTGTCTTCCCCTTGCCCCCCAAGAAATAAAAAGGGAGGGGAGGGGGCGGAATAATAATACTTTACAAGAATATTGAGGCTTCATTTATAAATTGCTCTGAAACTTTTGACTAAAAATGTCTGTAGGAGTGAAACAAATATAGCAATGTGTATTTCATTAGGTCCCTTAGAAGTTCACTGAAAACAAATTCGCAAATGTGTTTTGATTCACTAGAACGAGGTTCCAAAGCACACTTTTTTTTTTAAGAAACACTGCTTACAGGGAGGCTGACAGCTTGATTTTTAAAACATTACTATTAAAAATACAAGTTTATCCTAGCATTCAATCGTCATTAACTTCGCCTGAATTTATGTGCATGTGTGTCTGTTGATGAGAGAACCTCGAATGTTTTTGAGAGACAGAGAGAGAGACCAGAATAAGCCTCCAAATTGTTGTTTTTTAAAATGTTTTATGTATATGAAGGAAGGAAGTAAGCTTGGGGGTTTTCATAGAAAGACAAAAACATTTTTTTAAAAGCTTGGAGGTTTTCTCATCAACAACATAGTCTAAACAGAATTTTACAAAACAGTAATCAAAGTAAAAAGAGTAGAGGGGAGGGTCTTTCCTATCTCTTCCTGGTGTTGGTTTATAAGAGCCTCTCAATCCAGGAAGAGTGGGTAGGCCTGAGAACAATACCAAATGTATTTCTGCCCCACACTCCTCCACTCCATTCAGCAGCGCACCATTGAAATAAGGCCTCATAGGAAAGGCTAGGAGAAAAAAGACCACTGTGTTCAGAACATGGGGAGTGGAGCCCAACTCCTGTTCACAACCACGTTGAATCTGGTCTGCCTCCGTGCTCTGATTTGTGCCTAGCAGGTGAGGAGGATGTCATTTTTCCAACAGCAGGCCATTCTTTCCTTTGGTCCCCAGAGAGGTTTAAAGGTAATGTCCGTTTGCTGGATGCTGCTAGATCTTCTTTAGCGTTTGTAGTTGTATGCAGAGGTGTTCGAGAGAAGCTGACTACCAGCATATACATTCATGCATCTGCTCTGCAAGATGAAAAATTGGGGCCACTTCCCCAGTTGTTCACCATACCTCTTGGTCTTGCCTATGTTTCCATTGTTCCCCATAATCCACACGTGTCCCTAAGAAAGGGTGCCCTTTTGGCTCCAAATACAAATAGTGGGCATCCCTGTTACCGCTACTGACAAGTATCCTTTAGTGAAAAGTGCATGTCCAAGTGTTCACCGGAAGAGTGCATGAGTATTGTCTCATGCACTGCATGGTGACAGGCAGTGCAAGTGCTCATCAACAAAACAGTGACATAATCTACATAAAAAGTGCTGGCAAATAAAATTTTAAAAAGTAAGCTGGAAAAAATAATATTCTGCTATTTTTTCAGTGTTAATAATTTAGGTGTTACATGCAAGTCTAGTAAGCTTAAAAATATCACCAGTAATTTTTTTTCAATTTGCATTGCCCCTTTTACAGTGTAATGTAAACTGCTCCCTTTATTCAAAATAACTTGGTTTATTAGACTTAGACAGTAGACACCACTTAAATTTAACTTTGAAAAATTAATATTCTGTCTTTTTCTTCAGTCTGTTTTTTCTTTCACTCTTCCATCCCTTCCAAAGCATTTGTTAACTTATTTGATGATCTTCTTTCTTAGATGTAGTCTTTTGTTTTTTTTAAATGATGATAATGGTTCTTTATTCAATAATCAAAGGTTTTTCAATTTAATTAGGAAGCTTCTTGCAGTTTTATTCCCAGAGATTGTAGTAAGTGAACAACAGAATGAGTCTGTATGTTCTCTAACTCTGATGTACATGATGAAGTCTGCATTTTAAAAACATCTCAGTAGTTTTTTGCCATTCTTTGTCCCCCAATTCAGATACTGCACAGATTCAGTTGTTCAGCTTCATGTTAAAATAATTTTTTTCCTGAAAACGCCAGTGTGCTTCTATTGGGACTTCAGCTTGCTGCAGTACTTTAAGCCTATAGCGCCTCTCCAGGCAGTCCATAACAAGGGGGTACTTTCCAGACTCAAACTTGTTGGCAAATAAATGAGGTGATTCAATGATCCATTGTAAATCCCCCAGTCCATAAATACAAATATTTCTGATGTAATGTCCTGCAAAAATGAATAATTCATATTGAGAAGAGGGAATAATGGATTGGAGCTGTTTATTTTCAGGTACTCAGTGGGCTTGTCTGCACTGTTGGACAAGGCTAGGGAGCACCTTCATGAAAATTCACCCTGCTCTCTCTTGGTGACTGCTTCATGGTGAAAAAATATCATTGACCACTGCTAGAATGATGCTAGGCACATCTAATGCCTTTCATGAGCATACCCAAGTCTGAGAGAATGGGAGTGGCTCTGGGCATGTGCCAGGAAGCAGCTATGTGCAGTGTTCACAGTGTGTCTGTTCCTATGGCAGTGTTCTCTACTGCTGTCCTGTGCAGTGTAGACAGGCCCTGGGCAGTACTGACAAACATGACAGATCCATCTGTGCGCAAGTACTTGAAATAGAGAGAAAGACTAACACTGCTTCTTTTTGTGAACACGAGCACTGCACTCTGAGAACAGATTTTAGGGGGAGAAATGTGCATGGACCTCACTGGGGCATGCTGGCTCATGTTGTGTACTTGGCCTGTTAGTGATCTGATCCCATACTCCTGTCTGCAGTGTGACCATTCATTTTTCTTGTTTTAGGCTGTGCCCAAGTCCTTCATGCTTCATTTATGGCAATTGCAGATCTAATGAAAGTCAGTGCTTACATGCTCAACCAAGGTCAAACTGCCATTTAGACAGCACAGTGTTGCTATATTTTTGTTTATAATACTGGGCCACTTGTTTTAACTTCGGGAGCATATATGTGTTCTCTTGTTTCACACGTGCATTTATCAAAAGGATGTCGAGCAAACCCCGTTCTTTTTATTTGAAGGCTGGATCTGCTATGGTTAGTGTTCTGGATAAAGTCCATTTAATAAATGGGAATGAATGCAAGTAGGCAAAACCTGGTAAACATCAAGCTACAGTTTCCAAACTTGAAAGCTTGGAATGTAAAATGTTAGGAACTCTGTCATTAATTTATAAAATTGGCTAATTTATAAAAGATCATCCTCACTGATGAATAAAAAAAAAAAAATGCTTGCTTGTGTGTATATATTAGTGTGTGTACATATGCACATATTTATACACATAGATATTACACATGCACACACACACACACTCAAATAGTTTCTGCAGCATTCTGCCATGTTGAAAGACATTTGGACTTGATATAGGAGAGTAATGTAGTGGGAGAGCTTATCTATTTTATTTGTTACATTCAAAATAAAATATGCATAACTCCTGAGGCACATTTCATGGATAATTATGAAATGTATGTTGTATTCTACAAAAGTTAGAGCAAGTACATCAGTCTGAATGCAGATCTAGTTCCTCCTGAAATAATTGCATTACCTTTGCAGCCATTATGTTTAACTCCTTCTTGATCTTTCCATTTAATAGCTCGTATATTTCCTTCCCAGTCTGCATTTGGTGTGGCACCTGGAGAATCTGGGGGGAGGAAAAACAATCAGGGCTGAAGAGGGTTTTTATTCTGTATACCCCTTGGGAATAACTTTTCCTATCTCTGAAGGAGATGGCAAATTGGCTGGATCAGGCTTGTCCAACATGCGGCCCTCCAAGTTGTTTTCTGAGGCCCGAGGTGCTGCGACGGGAAACAAAAGTAAACACTATGCTTTCATTTCGTGGGGGGTAATGTGATACCGCTTTCTGTGAGGTCTTTGAATATGGCTCGCCAGCCCACTGGATGATTAAAAAGTTCATGGTCTGGACCCACATTCAAAAAGGTTGGACACCCCTGGTCTAGACGGTCGCACCCAGACAGTGGTGGTGGACGGGTTGTTTTTGACCTGGAGGGATGTGGGCAGTGGAGTCCCCCAGGGCTTGGTCCTGGGGCCTGTACTGTTCAACATCTTTATCAGCAATCTGGATGTGGGTGTGGAAAGCACACTGTCCAGATTCACTGACGACACAAAGATGTGGGGCGAGGTGGGCATGCTGGAGGGGAGGGACAGAATCCAGCTAGATCGAGACAGGTTACAGAGGTGGGAGGATGAGAATAGGATGGAATTCAACACAGACAAGTGTAGGGTGCTGCATCTGTGGAGAAGGAACCAGCAACACACCTATAGGCTGGGGAACACCCTTCTTGTCAAAACAGTGGCAGAAAGGGATCTTGGAGTCATTGTTGACTCCAAGATGAACATGCGCTGCCAATGCAAGAAAGCGGTCAGTAAGGCTAACTTCACCTTGTCGTGCATCTACAGATGCATCACAGGCAGGTCCAGAGAGGTGATCCTTCCCCTCTATGCAGCGTTGGTCAGGCCGCAGTTGGTGTACTGCATCCAGTTCTGGGTGCTGCACTTCAAGAGGGATGTGGCTAGCATGGAGAGGGTCCAGAGGAGGGCCATTTGCATGGTCAAGGGGCAGCAGGGCAGGCCCTACGAAGAGAGGCTAAAGGGCCTGAACCTATTCAGCCTCCACAAGAGAAGGCTAAGAGGGGATCTGGTGGCTGTTTGCAAACTCACCGGGGGGGACCAGCGGGAATTGGGTGAGGCTCTGTTCTCCCCGGCACCACCGGTGGTTACTAGGAATAAAGGCCACAGATTGTTAGAGAGAAGGTTTAGGCTGGACATCGGGAGACTTTACAGTTAGGGCTGCCAGGCTCTGGAATGGGCTCCCAAGAGAGGTGGTGCGCTCTCCTACCTGGGGGTCTTCAAGAGGAGGCTGGACAGATATTTGGCTGGGGTGTTATGACCCCAGCGCTCATTCCTGCCCGGGGCAGGGGTTGGACCTAATGATCTGTTTAGGTCCCTTCCGACCCTAAGCACTATGAAACTATGTTGGGTATAGGCAGAAAACATTCTTAATAGCAGTATGTTTTGAAACCAGTGGCTAGTGGTCTGCCCTAACCTTTAAAAGTAGGCCATATATTTCTGGTTTCTGTCTCTAAATAGGATGTGGATCATTGCAACAAGAAATAATGTAAATTTAGGGAAATTACTTCCGTAGATAGTTTAACAGCATCAAACCAGTGGCTATTCATAGTATAAATAATGGTCATCTTACCAGTTAAACGATTCAGTGTGACCCAGTAGTGTTCATCTGGACTGTATGTGTCCATTGACCATTCAAGTAAGTCTTTTGCTCGTACATCAGTCAGTGCAAACTCTACAAACTCTCGAGTAAGTACATAGTAAGCACTCCCAAAATATATGGTTAAATTATGAGGGGGATTATTTTTCACGTTCTTAGTTGGATACACGTAGGATGTCCCGGAATGGACATATTCTTTGTAACTAACGTGCGTCCTGTATTTTATATGAGGTGGTTGGACCACCCCAGGAGTTATATTTTTACCATTCCATTTGCTTTTGATATATTGTATAATTTCTTTGTTTGTTTTGATAGGATAATCCTGGCCACATAGATTAATGACATAATTCCACTGAATGTTGAATTTAATCAAATCCTTCATACAATTGATATCTGCTTGTAGTCTTGAAAATCCTGCATAAACAACACTTTCTCTTTTTGATGTTATAAATATGTTTTCAAAGCAGTTGACTATGGTTTGCACAGCAGCTTTGTAATCCTTGGATGTTTTTTCATCAATGTGAATGCAGTAAACATTCTGCGGCACATAAATGGCTCGTAGTAGTTTTACAAACATTTCTAACTCCTTGTGAATTGTGATGATGTATGCCAAAGAGAAGTTTTTTTCTTCTTCGGACAGTGGTTTTGTTATGAAATGCAAATTCTTCAGGACAGCAGAGCAGTTGCATGGAGTCTGTATACAATAAAGCATTTCAGGTTGATGTATGCTCTGACACACATTCCCAATCTGAAGTGCTGCGCTTTTCCCCTCAAACAGAGCTGAACAAAGCTCATCTGGATAAACGCCACATTCTTCCACATTTGGGAAGCTCTTTTCACTTGATTCTTTAGGAAGCGTGTTCTTTACATAGATGAAAGTGAGGATAAAAATAGACACACCAAGGCATACTAAAAATCCTGATTTTGCTGCATCAAGCTGGTTCATTTTTGTTCTGCAGACACTTTCTTTTGATCATAGTTTACTGTTCACTTACCTGAAAGGGAGAAGAAAAAACACAGGGTTGTTTTTTTTTTAATTGATTTAATCTGATTAAACGAAAGTGATGCATGCGCAGATGCTGAGATCCTTTTTGTAGCACTAAATAGTAGTACTACAAATTCTCCCCAAAACAGGGAAGAGAGAGGCAATAAAGTTTGCTTTCTAAAAGAGTTGTACCTGTAATTCCTCGGTTCCTGTATACTCACAGTTACCAGTGACAAAGAATTGAGAAGAGCTGCTATTTCTAGGGTTACCATGTTTCCAGTTCCAAAAAAGAGGATACCTGTTGCACAGGGGAGGAGGAGGACCCAAAAAGAAGACCTGTCCAGGAAAACCAGGACCTATGGTAACCCTAGCTATTTCAGACTCTTGCTTTCCTGTTATTAGTTACGTTATTTCTATATTTTAATTTATTATTTGGTTTTGATCAAGAGACAAATAGCTGCTCATGACTATGTAACATCTGGGCCTCGTTTCAATTCCTGTGTTGCTCCTTTAATTGGAGCAGGCAGGACATGCCAGTAATGTTTTGGCAACAGTAAAGCTGCATAGCACTCTGAGCAGCTATTTAGCAACAGCAAAGATGTTAAAATAAACAGCAGTAGAAGACCAAATTCTGATCCACAAAGGTATATAGTTTTTTTCCTTAATATTAAGTGACCCAGAGTTCTTGTTTGTTTACTCTGTAATCTATATAGATCAGTTTTCTAATGCTGAATCTTGGCAGCCAAATAACTGCATTTTCTTGTTTTGAGAATGTTTGAATCTTTCCTGTAATACAGTAAATTACTGGCATTATAGTAGTACATTTTAATGCTCATAGAACAAGCAAATAGCTAATTCATTTCAGCTCTCCTGTCTGCCACAGCTGCTAGTTGAAGCCCTTGTTTTTTGAAGTATTTGGTGAAGTAGTACATATACCTTCCTGAAGAATTAAAAAAAAAAAATCATTCAAATTGACAATATGATTAGGACTCCTAAGTGTTTTGCTTTGTGATCTGTAGGAGTGTTTGGGGGGTTGGTTTCTTTGCTTTTCCCTGCTTTATGTTATGCTTTTATTCAAGCTAAATGCTTGTAGAAAAAAAAAGTTGATATTTTACTTGCAACTTTATCATATTTTGTATCTGTTAACCTCACTTAATATGTAAGCCAAATTGCTACATTTGATAGTTGTATTCATTGCTAAAGTCATCTTACAATTTCAGGATTGTTTGCTTTCATTTAAAGATCTAACTTAGTTTCTTTCAATAGAAGACACTCCCTCCACCCCTCCTCCCCAGCTTCTAAAACAAAGGATGATAATGAAACTTTAGTATAACAGGAACACAAGACTTTAAGTACTGAAATTTGAGAATTTGTGACCAGGCTAGATCTTCTATAATGATTAAAACTTTAAACTTTAGGAGAGAAGACTTTCAATAAAGAATGTATTTAGCTTAGTCCTTACTGATTTGCGCAGGATTTCATACTGGAAGAATGCCTTTTTCCTCTTCTGCTTATTAATCCATTCTTTGGAAGATTTGGCTCCAATTTTGTATCCGTTTCCCTGTTGTGCTCGATCTGTACATATTCTTCAGCATACATTGAGTGCACAGGCAAAAGAAAAACATTAGGAAACCAGGTCCCGGAAGAATATATATATTTGTTTAGTGGCTCATAAGGGATATGCTTACTGCATAAACACACTTGTGCAAGCTTGATTTTAAGTGAGCCCTTCATTTGTTTAAGCTTCATTTGTTTAAGAAAAATTCAGCACTCCCATCAGCATCAAATTTTTGATGTTGTGGAGAAAGCAGCTAGAGAAGAATGCCTTTTGCAAGGCAAATGCAAGGTTTTTCAGAGGAATAATCAGATACGCCAGCACTGCTGTCGATGGACTAACAGAGCCAAGAAAAGATTAGCATAATGGACGTTATGTACCCGGTAGTGGAGGTTAGTGGGAGGAGAGTTTGTTACAGTAGGGTAGCACTGACTTTGTCTTCAAGCCAGAAAACCTGCTTTATAATGAATGAATAATTAAAGGGAGAATAGGGAGGTCACTCTAATTTAGTGAATAGGATGAGGATCTGTAGAGCATGTTTTGAGGTTCACCATGCTGGGCCTAAGTATTATATTGAAGGACAAGAAAAATGCAGTTATTGGGTTTTCATAATTTTTTAAATAGCATGTAAATCATTGGTGGACTGTTGCATTGTATTAGCATCAGTCCAGCCATAGGAAGTACAGTATCTCATTAAAGACAGATTGAAAAAATTGGAGTTACCGAGGAATTGGCTTATGATGTATTACTTATATGTGATAGGTAAGAAAAAAAGATTCCTTCCCCCAAGTCAAAATATTTCTAGGGCTTTTTTGAGCCTCTTAAGAGAACATGTAATAACTGGGGACCAATTGTTAACCCTTTCCCTTCCCACTCCATAAATCCTAAAAAATTGGCTTCTACTTGTTTCATAATGTTAATGATCTGGTTTAATTATTTGTGCATTTTTAGGAGGTGCTTAGTTGAGGCTTATATAGCCTGGCTTGCCCTATATAAGCTAGCTGATGTACAAAGATATGTGCTAACTAGTATGCAAAGCAAAAACATGCCCTAATCAACCATTTCAAATTTCACAAACACAGGATGCTATGACTGTGACAAACTGGATTGGGCCAGGAGATGAGAAGTCTCTGCTGACAGTCTGTTAAATGGATTTTAATTGATAGCATTCACTTGATGGAAGTGACAGCATTTTTAAATGTTAGGGCTGAAACTAATAGTTTTCATCTTAATGTGATTTTTTTTTTTTCTTGTACCAGTTAATTACCTTTTTATAAAGATGTCTTAAATTCTCTTTAATCGGCGTATGTAATTGGCAAATTGGGCATGACAGATTAGAAATTCCCTCCTTTCTTCTTCATGCTTAAATGATCAGGGTTTGGGCATGGACATACAAGAAGGTGATGCAATGCCATACCTCCTATCCTGAGAGCCAAGGCTATTGGGTGAAAACAGACCCCTCACAGATGATATTCTTACCATAGAGCTGAAATACCAGCCATAGTTTGTTCTGTGACCCTTGCATAGAGTGTAGGCCTTTGGATCAGTGTTGGCTGGTTCCTGTCTCTCGGGCAATAAATTAGCTCCATATTAGCATCACCAGAGCACTCAGACCTTATCCTGCCCTTAGAGGCAATGTGGAGCTTGTTGTACTGCCTCCTGTACTTTAATGTGCATATACAAGAATCCAGTTGTTCATAAGTGTTTGTTACAGACAGCCTGTGTTTATATCATTTTCTACATCTGTTCTTTGAAATGTAAAGCATTTAAGTCTCTCTTTCTCCCTCCACTTGAAACTGAACTCTCAAAGGCTCAAGCCAATTTTCAGGGACCAAAGTATAGATTTAAATCCTGAGTTTCAGGCACGCAATTGTGACAGTTTTGATGAATGTTATATTTCCAGCATGTGCATGCAGAGATTTCCTTAATAACGATAGAGGGTGGAAAATTACCAGATTAGACAAACTCTCAATTTTAGTTTGAGAAGGTGAGCTGAAAAGGCAGGTGGGCCCACAGTAGAATATTTGTAGACATGCCAACATACTAGTAATTTCAGTCCATCAAGATCCCGTTTCATAAAATACATGCATGCAGTATATTTAATTGTTTTAAGCAAACTGAATAGTTTTTGTGATGAATTTTTACTTTTGGGGCCCATCTTGGCCCTCCAAATTCTGGGCTGTCATTGCGCGTCTAAATTAGCTACTTCGTGCATTATTTTGGGGGGGGGGGTTAATCCCTTTTAAAATTTAATTAAACATTTGGCTGTACCTGTAATTTCTTGAGTTGAATTGCTTTAGAAAACTGAATGTCTCTAATTTTAATGTCATGAAAGGGTTAAGGAACACTGACACTTTTGTATTCCAGGACTCTCATATCCTGTCTGCCTGATGAGCTGTTTTATAAATCGAGTAATGATGTTATATAGGAGATAAGTCACTTTTGAAGTAGGAAGTAAAAGTTTACGGTCTTCAAAATAAAGTAATAGCAGTAAATACCATTTCATTTATATTCTTACAATTATTCCTAAATTATCTTGAAACTGCTTCTGTTATGACTTTATCCTGTAGCCAGTTAAGTAAGTTAGTGAAAATGTTGCCAGATTGGGCTTTTAAATTTAGTATTTCCTTAAAGTCCTTTTGACGTCAAAAGATGAATAGTGGATTACTATTGACTAGAAACATCAAATGAGTTTATGAGGGGTAATATTTCAGCTGCTGTCTCTAGTTATTTTCTTCCTTGCACAAAATGCTTGTACTTGTATCAGTTTAGTGAAGATGTTATGGCAGTAGTGTTTTGGCAATAGATATAAAGCCCTGGGTTACAGAGTTAAAGTAAGTTAAGTGATTCATAACAAATCGTAGCTTGCATTCGCACAGACCAGGCTTTTATATTATAAGAAAAAAATCATTTAGCATTTTAACAATCTTTCTTCACACACGCATCTAATTCAAAGTTGTTTTTGGTCTAAACATTATCTAAAAATAAAAGCCTCTTATTTTCAATAGTGAAATGCCTTTGTCAGAATCAAAGCATTTGTTTTAGAGCTTTCAAAGATTTTTTTTTTTTTTTTAAAGCATTTTCTATAAAAATAAATTTTTAAAATTCAGCTTATTTAAACTCACCTTGTAGAAGAGGAGCCAGATGTTAACAGCAGAATTTTATAAATGTATGAAGTCCCATTGCCTTTCAGGTGAAAATCAGATTAAGTTCTTCATTCTGTTGCTTATGTGGAGACCTCACATTAGATTAAATAGGTTAAATATTAACAGAATTTTTTGTTAGGGGTTAGTCTAGCATTTCTTAGTGCTTAATAGTTTATTCTGCAGTGGCCCCCAAGCACTCAGAACAGGCAGTCTCTTTTACGTAATGTCAAGAGAAAGCTTGAGCTTCTCCAAATTTTTGTTGACTGTTCTGACACTGCCTTTAAAGGGAGTGAAACTAGTCTTTGAAATCTGTAGAGACTGCATTGCTGCTGCTTAAAGATAGCATTGCTAAGACTTTAACCTCTAGTTGCTAACCGAGCAGAGTGAATGATGTGGAGGGAAAAAAACAAAACCCTTGCTTAACTCCTTGGCTGCTGAAACTTTCCAGAGTATGCAACCAAGTAAGAATAATGTAGGGGGTGGGGGTTGGCTACCTTTAGCTGCTTGAAGTTAAATAACTCTTCCTCCCAGTCTGATACGTGTATTTAGTTAAACAGTTTTTAAATAAGCAAAAAGATAATCCTTTTTTAATGTTTAAAAGCAAACAGATTAACCTAGTAGGCTTGAGCAGCTTTGGTGTATGAAGAGTACCCTGCATGAGTCACAATTGATGTATTTGTGCGTCTGTGGTCTAAAATAGTATGTGTGGTAGTTTCATAGCTGTCTTTTTTGTCACTTGGATTGAATTAAAGCCTGTTGGTCAGAAATAATAAGTACAGAGGAGGCCTGGAAGTATATTGAGTAGAGGCACACCGATGCATCAGTCCATATCGTATCGGCACCAATAAAAGGAAAATTGATGTTCTTGGCAATCAGATTTTTTTGGCTGATGTGGCTGGTAATTTTGCAGATTTTTAAATACTGTGTGCATGTGTGCAGCTACAGCATGTATGCTGTCAGGAATGCAGCCCGGCAGCTTGGAGAGCAGCGTCCAGCCAGAAAGTCGGGGGGGGGGGGCAGAGGCCCCCACTGTGAGTGGGGGGGCAGGCAGTGCCCGAGCAGAGCCATAGGCAGCTCATCCAGGAGGCGCAGCAGGGTGGGGAGGGGGGCAGCACCCCACCCCTGTGCGCACCCCTGGGGCAAGCATGGGGGACACTTGCCCCCTGGATCTGTGCGCTCTTGGCTGTGGCTCAGTCTGAGCTGGTAAGTACCATGGGGGGCCAGTGTTTTAAAAAAAGCCCTGGTGACACACCAGGTGCTGCCAGGTGGGGGACGATCTCCACTGCCCCATGCTGCCAGGGGAGCTGTGCATGAGCTCCCCCCATGGGTGCCCCGCCTGGGCCAGCTCCGGCCCTTTAAGAAAAAAACAAACAAACTAAGAAAAGCCCCAGAACTCACCTCTCCTCATGCGGCCTCAGGGCTTCGGGGGCTCATGCAGAGCCCCCCATGTGGTACAGGGCAATGGGGGCAGCAGAGATCACCCCCCGCCTGGCCGCACCCAGTGAGCTGCGGTGTTTTTTTCCAAAGAGCCGGGACCTAGGGCAGCCATTGCCGGGCTGGAAGAGCAGGCGGGGGAGCACTCGAATCGGATTCAGCCGAATCGAACTGGGACAGTGATTCGAATCACCAAATCAAATCGCTGTCCCCCAAATTGGCTGAATCTAAATCAAATACAAGCTGCTTTGCTGAGGCATATGCCGCACTCTCTTCCTTGCCATAGGGGCCTTGATCTGCACCCCCCACCCTCAACAGACTTACCAGCCAGACACTGCTCTCCAATGCATATCAGCAATCGGATTAGTATCGGCTGATATGAGCCATTGGTATCTTTATCAGTGCACCCCTAATATTGAGGAACTACTGCAGGCACTCCAAGCATTAATTTCTTGTCGACTTCGGGGGGGGGAAAAAAAAAGGTCTGTATACAGAAGTGGTTCCAGCATCTGCCCCATAACCAAATTGTGTTGGTGACCTATATGCTGTTACTCTCAACTGAAAGTATAAATTTGCAAATTAATAGCTTAAAGTGCAATGCTTCTCTTTCCTAATTACCATCATCCTTTCACCCCAACCCTTGCTCTCTGCCCACCCACCATCTGGAAAATTAATTTCTCTGCTCCTGGCTTATATTTTTCCTAATGAAATGACCTTTGAAATATCATTTGTACTTGGTGTTCCTTACATTTCTTTTTAGATGGTAATCATTCATTTTTCTAGGCGTTCTAATAATACATTGGCTTGTAATTGGCTGGCACAGGAACAGTATTTGGTCTTTAGTCTAAGGCAGTAGTCAGTTCTAACTACTTTTATTTAGGCAAAGGCTGGCAAGGGAGCACCAATACATGGTCTGCTCTGGATTGGCTGGACGAGAATTCTGGTCCTTTTTATGATTTTAAATAAACATTCATACTTTGAAGGGGTGAAGTAATGAATTTGGTTTTTATGGCTTTGGGGTTAGATTTTCAAGTTAGCTTTAAAAAGTACTGATTTAAAGCATGCCAAGATGTAGGTACATAAAGCTAAATCTCTTAATCGGCATCAAAGGTATAAAATAGTAGTAATAACTGTAGTACCATAGAGCCCAAATCCTGGACATAAACACATTAAGCTAAGTGCTGTATAAACACAGGACAAAAAAACCGAAAATTAAAGAAAAAAGCAGACAGTGTCACAGAAAGCTAACAGTAAAAGTAAGTTTAAGCACAAATTCTGATTTTTGTTATGAAGCCTGAACTTAAAGGAAGCAGGAAGAGGAGATTTTAGAATAAGGAGAATGAATGCTTTTTAGATTCAAGTTGCATTGACACCAGAAGGGCCTCACACTATTTCTTCAGGTAAAACCATCTGTGCTGCTGTTAAACTAATATAATTTAAATCTCAAAGATTTTTCACTTTTCCAAAATCTGCTGCTCTTGCTCATTTAAGTTTTGGTACCTACTGACATCAGGATTTCTGTGTAAATAGACTAGCATATGTTTTATATCATTAAAGACAATCATCTGAACTCTGGTGGTGGTAGGCCTTCAGGATATATTTTTTTAAATTATTTATTTGTGAAAAAAATGCAAAGGTCGGGTAGAATTATTATGAAGGCTTCTGGAGCTTAAACAGTTTAAACAGTTGTTTTAATATAAACATCTGAAACAAGCAACTTCACAAATATCAAATTCAATAAAAATTTGGCAGAGCATTTGCACAGAAACAACACACGTGCTTCATTCTCAGACTTGCTTGCATTTGCTATCAGTGCCATACCTTTCTCTGGTTACAGCTTCAGTCATGTGAACAGAGTCGCTTGGCTGCTTTTTGTCCCTTGGGAACTTCATATTTTCTGGGATTAGTGATGTCTTCAGTGTTACAAAGAGGAGGAGGAAGCAAAAGCAGCAATTAAGTATATTCAATTTTGTACAGATTTCCAATTTGTGATAGAGATGTTACAGGAAGCCGAGCCCTCTCTTGACTTGCTCGCTCTTGAAACAGAGCTTCGCTGGAGGAAGTGGCAGCTTGATCACGCATCACTCAGAAGTCTTCCTGTTTTTTATCTTAGTCCTTCGCAGTTTACCATGTCGGCTATTAAAATGTTTTTTTGGGGGTTTTTTTTACTCATCAGCTAAAAGCCTTAAGGATATAGTTTCAGTGACGGTGACTTATTTTCTAAATGATCAGCGTTCCTCCAAAGAACAAACTGCTGATGGTGCCACGTCTTTTCTTTGCTCATGTCTTTTTTTTCTTTTCGTGATGTGCTACTTGAAGTACTGCCCCTCAAACGATGCTCATTTTGCAATACCTTAGAAGGGTTTGGTCACTCAAACAACCAGAGCTGTCTCTCTCTCAGATTTTTCTCGTTGTTATAGTCATCCAATTCAGTATGTGTAACTGCAAAGCTAAAAGCCCATGTGGTAATTAAAAGGTTTAGAAAAGATATTGGAGGACTGTTTGTAAAGATTCTTCCTCAATATTTTGAGGTCACGGAAGATGAGGGTCAGAGTTGTGGTGCATGATGCCTGGGTTGTAGTAACTTCTGAGCAGAAAATTACTGTATCTTTGCTTCAGAGGCATCAACAACAAATCACTTCTATTTTTTGTGGGGCAGTGATGTTTGCTTAGTTGCTATCTGATATGACCCTTGTAGAGTGCTTTTGCTAAAGAGTAAAATTCTCTGTACTACCAAAAGGGAAGATTACTTGATTTAGCTTTATAGGTGCCTTCATTAGTTCTCATTTTTTAGAAAACGTGTACAAAATGATAGACAATATGCACAGTTAAAAATCTTTTCTGAGGATTCACTTAAATATGACTTTGAAATTACAGAGAAAAAAGCTCTGAAACATCTAATTAGTAAATTCATTTTACTAAAAAGTTCCATCAAATGTTTACATTGAGTGTATCAGATAAAGTGCAGTAGTACAGAAACTGGAGGATAGGCACCTGAGCTGTTAGATCATGTGCAAGCCCATTGATTAATATCACCTTTGTTATCATTATAAAGATGGTTTCATAGTACTGTGTTCAGGAAAAAACTCTGACAAGTAAAATTTTATACTTGATTTCCAGTTATACAAAAGAGATGCTGCTTTCAAGTGTTATTCCATTTGTAATACAAATTCTAGAAAAAGTGTTGTTGATCAATCCTAGTTTAAAGATTCACAGGCAACAAATTATCGGGAAAATACTTAGTTTATTATTTTGTTACTTAAACTGGTTTGTGGGGCAGAACTGCACTGCTGCCCAGAGCATCTACAGGTGGCGGACAGTGGAATGACCTTCAGGGAAGGTTAGCTGCAAAATAAGCAGGGGTAACTCTGACGAATAAGCAGTCATGGACCAAGCAGTGGCAGCAACACTAGACTGTGGTGAAAACAGCAGGTGGCGATGGTTTCCCTCCTGAAAAGCCATGTACATCCTTTGACAGTACTGGGACGTGGCAAGAACAGGTCGCCTCTATAATAAGCCTGCCCAGCCATGGGTCTACAAGTCCTCAATGGCCGGTAGAAGATGTTAGCATCTCAATGGCTGCAAAGCTGGATGAAGGCTGCAGCGGAACAAGATTCCCAGATGTCTTGGTCTCCTTGCCACTGGATCAGTGTCTTATTCTTTCAGAAGCCATGTGGAAGCTGATGTGCAGCAGCTTCTCCATGATGAAAGAAGTCATGCACAGGTATCTTCTATGAAAAACAGCTTTTCCAGCACATTCCTCAAGCCTTTTGGCAACCAGCTAATGGCAATAGGAGTAGGGTTGTGAGGTCCGGAAGCTCCTAGTCATGAACTGGCACAAAGGTGGCAATTACAAGAAGGTCGTCTAGCACTTGGGTGACACAGGAGTGTGGTTTGGTAGCTGAACTGTGACTGAACAGCCTTCTTCAGGATCTGCTGTACTCATCCCATATGGGGAGGGGC